GGTTTTTGCCCCAAAGTGTGGATGGGTAACTAAGAGCTGTCTGAGGAGCTATTAGCACAGCGTCTGTCTCTGAAGCACATGGTATAGTTTTGACCACCAGTGCTGTTATGGCCATGTGTTCCAATACCCACAAAGTTCTACCTCCCACAACAGTCAATATTCTCTGTTAAGTTATCTAGCAAATGTATTAGGTCACAGAATCACGTAGGTTAGAAAAGACCTTTAAGCTTATCAAGTCCAACCATGAACCCAGTACTGCCAAGTCCACCACTAAACCATGGCTCTCAGTGCCACATCTACATGTCTTTCAAGTACTTCCAGGGATGGTGACTCCACCACTTCCCTGGGCAGCCTGTTCCAATGCTTGACAATTTCTTCCCTTTTTTATGAAGAAAATGTTCCTAATATCCAGGCTAAACCTCCCCTGGTGCAACTTGAGGCTATTTCCTCTCATCCTATCACTTGTTACTTGGAAGCAGAAACCAGCACCTAAACAGCTGGTAAGGCAGCAGGAGTTCAAGTGCCCATAGGGGTAAAACCCAGGTTTGTAATATAGTCAGACATACCAAAACCTAAGTTTCCTTGGAGCCTTTAGAAAATAGTTTGCAAGATGAAATCATGGAAAATAAAATAACAGCAAGCAACTGCTTCAGACATCTTCCTATTGCTGAAGGTCCTTGGCTACATAAAGTCACATTTTAGACTCCTCAAATGGTATTTATTAGTTGCTTAAGATATAACAGGACCCAAAAATGTCCCTCTCCATCCACCATTCATCAGAAGATTGAACCCTTTTCTACAGGACTACAACTTAAGTTTTAGGGATTCACAAAGTCATGATCCCTTTGTCTGTCTCATGTAATTCAAAGATATGAAAAAAGCCGTATGCCCTGACAAAATACTGGCTAGTGCAAAATATAGGGGACCATCTGCTTAGTAACACAGGGTTTCATAAACATACCATGTTGATACTCTGTTCTGTATTAGCTACTCAGTGAACGTATAATTTAAGTTCTTCATCTATGCAAACTCCTTCATGAGATTGATCTCCATCATTTTCAAAGGCTGCTTCTTCCATAGCCAAAACACAGGTACATTTCATAAGAGTCATCCAATGGTCAATAAACAGTAATACGCAGTTCACATAACTGAGTATGTGTATGTAGTGGTGGAAAGGACCCCAACAAGCTATGAAGTTTATGTACTCTAACTGAATGACAAAAATTTGTAAGAGATGTTATAACTCTGTTTGTGACTTCAAAAAAGATAACCCTACTTCCCAGTATGTCTAACCCAGCAATTAGCACCTAGCAAGTCTTCTTTAATATCCAAGCCAGATCTCGATTTTTGCAAATGAAAGGATTTTTTTCCACCCAGGCTCTTCCTCTACCCAAAAACTTCTCACCATTCCTAGAAGAACCCACACCCCTGTATATCCTTTTTCCTAAGACTTGGCATTCTTGTTGCACCAGGATAATTTTACCAGAAGAAAAGGCCACGAGTTACATGAACCAGGGTTTTTTTTTGGTGTGGTGGTTTGCTGTTTTTTTTTTAATGTAAGCATAAAGTCTTTTCAAACCCAATTCCCAGTTCTTGAGCTGCAGAGAATCTTAATACCTTTATGCAGTGAATGCTGTTCTAACCCACTTATATTTTTATGGCAGATAATGGCACCTGGAGACCACACAAGACAGAGAAAAAAATTTACTACACCTTGGAATGGAGTGCAATCTGTTAGCTTTCCACATACGGACACAGTGGGACTTCTCTGCAGTCTAAAAACATCGAATAGCAAAGTAGCACAGAAGGAAATTAACAGAAAAGTGACTTCTGTGTCTTACTACTTCATGTTCTAGGTTTGTATTGTAGAAAAAGTCAATCACTCCCTAGAAAACTTAGAATGATTACGTTCAGCATCATTTATAACAAGCACAATAAAAAAAACGCTACAATGAACTTCAGACTATTACTGAAAAAGAAACGACAGGTATGTATAGCAGCAATTTCATTTTCTGTTTAATGTGTTTATAGCCACAGAACTCCAAATTTCTTTATTGATTCAGTAACTACTGCTAACAAACCCTTCCCTACAACAGAAATTCTTCACTTCTATTTGCTCCGCCTTAAACCAGAAACGTAACATCTCGACCAACAATTTTCTTAGTCTGCACTGACGCATCTAAACTGGGTCTGACTTGAAAAGTCATGTGAGGAATAAAATACTGTTCATAACAAGTACACTTATAAACAAACTTATATTCAAATTTCATCTTCACATACCTTTTCAAGCCAATAGGGAGATGTTAAAAATGTAGAGGATCCAAAATTTTCTCCTGCATAGGGTGATGGATATGGGTGTGGCAAATTCAGCCCCAAGTAAAGAACAAACGGTTGAGTAAGGTTAATGGCTTCTTTCTTTATCCAATTTACTGCTTCATCAGTATTCTGCCAATCTGCTTCCATCACTCTTACATACTTCCTATCACCAGTCAGGTTTACCATGGGTCTCCCTTCTTGCCGGAGCAGGAAGTCAACATCCCTAGTCCAAGCTTCCACACGGTTACTGAAAATACATACATATGATACATACTCAGTGGAACATATTTTCTTCACTCTTCCTCAAAGTCAAAAGAGTTAATAATTCCTGAAGAACTTCCCCTATACTCGTAGCTGCAATCTATTTGTGACTTCTACAAAAATATTATTGTTATTCAATTGATCGATAGCTATTACACATCTATTTTATACTCAAAGCTTTAGCAATATTTTTTTCTGCTTCTGAATCTCTTATTTATTATAATTTCATGTCAGAATGGTTCTTCTCACATCTACAAAATATTTGGGAATAGCATCTCTACCTTGGTGACCCTGCTACTCCCTCTGGCATGGATTCACATTACTTTACCTGGTAAAGAGTGCCTTAGGTTTTTGTTATTTGAAAAAGTCCTGTGGGAAATAACTTGCCTGGAGAGGCTGACTTTAGAAACATCATCCTGGTTTTGGATAGTACTATTACAACATTTTTAAATGCTACCACTTACAACAAAAATCTGTAAGACTGATTTACCTTGTACAATTGCCTTTGATATAACTGATAAATGCTATCAAGAAAAGAGAACAACAGAGTAGAGGGGTGTAGAGAAAGCAAGAAGGAGAAAAAGAATGTTTTAATGATAATTTTTTTTAATCAGATTTTCTAGTATCATGACAATGTTGCCTCTCTAAAATGCTGAGAAATCTGAGCTGCAGATGTCCTTAATTCTTTGCCAGACTGAATGATACCACAGCTGCCATAAAAAAAAGTTGGGGAGTTGAAACAGTTCATAAAGAACTGCAGCCCATGGGAAGGAGAGAAGTTGGTGGAGGGCTGTCTCCCATGGGAAGGACCTCATGCTGGAGCAAGGGAGGACTGTGAGGAGTCTTGCCCTGAGGAGGCAGGAGCGGCAGAGACAGCATGTGATGAACTGACCACAACCCCCATTCCCCATCCCCCTGACTGCTTAGGCGGAGGAGGTAAAGAAAATCAGTATGAAGTTGAACCCAGATTGTAGGAAGGGGTGAGAAGAAGGTGTTTCAAGATTTGGTTTTATTTCTCATTATCCTACTCCTACTTCTAATTGGCAATAAATTAAATAGTCTTAGTCAAGTCTGTTTTGCCTGTGACCATAATTGGTGGGTGATCTCTCCCTGTCATTATCTCAGCCTACAACCCTTTCATTCTATTTCCTCTCTCCTGTCCAGATGAGGAGAACAGTGACAGAGCAGCTTTGGTGGGCACTAGGCGTCCAGCCAGGGCCAACCCCCTGCAACAGTCCAAGTTTGTGAAAAGGTATGACCTTCAAAGAAAAAAAAAAAAAACAAAAAAAAGCCCCCAAAAAACCCAAAACAAACAAAAACAAAAAAACCCCACATCATGTTTTGTGATGGTGGATTTGATATCCAAGCCCTTTTCTAATGTTTTCCTACACTGCTGGTATAATAGAGCCTGGAAGTCTCAAGACACCGCTTTCAAATTTCACTTAGGGAGCAATGCCAATGATCAAAAATAACCTTCATTCATGATGGGCAAAAACCACAGCCTTGATACTCACATTCCATCTACAGGTAAAAGCCAAAGTGCATCTGCATGGGATATGCTTGCTTGTGCACAAAGTTGCTAAGTTTCTTTCAAATGAAAGCTACTACCATTCCAGAGACAGAAACCACTTGCCAGACAATTACAAGATTAATTCACTCCTGTCTGTTTCACAGGAGGAGAATCTATCTGATTACCTTACTGAATGATGTCCAGAAGTATAGTCCAATTTCCCATACTTCTGTGTGTAGTAGCCATTCTTCTCCATGAGATCCATCCATGTTACATAACCCGGCTCTAGACCTTTGAAGTTATTCCAAGACTCTGTTAAATGAATGAAAAGACCACTCCACATCGCTGGGGAGAACGAAAAAATGAGTTATGGTTTTTGATGAGTAAGTGGTACTTCCTATATAAATGCAAGTTGAATATGCTTGAGAAGGGATCAATCTTCTCATTATTTTAGTGGCAAATAGTCCACATGTTCAAAGTATTGCACTTCCAAATCTTATTTTCATCATCAATATGAATAACAACATTTACTAAAATAATCCCCAGAATTACAGAAGGACTCACCCAGGTGCTATGCAACCATTAAATCAAGGTTTCATGTAGATCAGGAAATATTCCTATTGACTGCAGAAAGAAAATGCCATGGTAGTATAGATCCTGATGAAAGTCATCTATTTACATTTACAGAGTATTACCTGCCCTTACTTCAGCTAAATTTGAACATGAATTTGAAGTTTGTGGAGGGAATTAGTGTATATTACTGCATATATATATATAAATATTATTTTTATAAATACTATATGCCCTCAGTTTTATCCTTTTTAGGTAATTTACTTCACTACTAGCTCTAGAAAAAAGGCCAGATTATTAAAGAGGCCAAGAAGAAAAGAAACCAAGGGAAGATTGCAAAGGAACTGAAAGGAAAGTAATCATTAGTGAATTCCTGTGTTTCTTTGCAGATTGTTGAGAACCATTCAGTTTTCCCAATGCTAATGTACAGTCAAAGGGAGTCCTAAACCAAAACCAAGCTGTTCTACAAGCAATGGAAATATTCGTAAGCACAAATTCGTAAAGCACGAACAGCACAGCAGCCCTACACCCGTACCATCCAATACTCCTACCTTCCCCACCCTAAAATCCTCCTTCTCACCATCTCTTCTAGTGACTTCTGACACCTCCACAATAAATGTACCCTCAGTTCCTCGCAGGTTGCCAAGCCACTGGCTAAACAAGAGATGTTCTGCTAGTTTAGAGCTACACTTGTGATGAGTGACCAGTGGTCATTATGATGTTGGTGGACCACTTAAAATGATAAACAGAAACGATGAATTGTTGAATTCATCATGCAGTATCTTCCTCAGTGGGAACACTGGCTGCTGTTTTCACAAAACTTCTTGAAATAAAATAACCTAACAACAGTTAGTGTTCTCAGCAAAAAAGATTGTCTGAAAGACTCAAATACCAAGAAAACAAGACTGATGGCATGTTCATGTAATCTCACTTAAGATGAGGCCCTGAAAACAGAAAAAACTATTAGGTTATCAATAAATGAAATACTAAAAAATTAATTTGACAGCCTGTGTGTGCTGCAGTCAGGACAGGACGCTTCTTCCAGTGTATGCTTGAGAGAAAGGGGGATCTTCCTTTCCTTCCTTCCTTGAAAGTTCATTTATAGCCTCCAGAGGGTCTTCGCAACAACTGGAAGGTCTAGAAATGTTTTAAGATGTAACCTTTGCTTCCTTCTAACTTCCCAGCAAATTCTGCAAGTAGGAAATTGAACACAGGGCAATGACTGCAGCAAGTACAGAAAAATGTTGAAGAATTCAACTAAAGCTACTGATGGATACATTATGCGTTTAGCACACTGCTTGCAATAAATGTCACTGGAAGGTGGTGCTATTCAACTGTTACTATTTAATACTATTTCCTGAGACAGGAAAGAGAATTATTAACTTTGCATTCGGGAGCACAGTTCTGAAAGTAGCTTTAGCACTGCAGCAGACAAACTGATGATTTTTCTACAAATCCAGAAGGATTTTTTTTTTAAATAGTGAAGTTTCAATGGAGTTTGCAAAAAGATTTGGGAGCTCACACATAGCTTGAGAAAGAAGAAACAAACAAACAAAAAAAAGATGAGAAACAGAAAAGAGAAAACATGAGAATCCTATAAAAATTCAGACACAAGCTAAAAAAAAATTGAGTCTTACTGAAAAACAAAACTAATTCCCTAAATTAAATCCTTTGAAATTTCCCATTATTAGCATATATTTAAATTGACACATGCTTGGTCCTACCTGCACGGGAAGGACAACAAATTGGAGAATTGGTATAGGCATTGAGAAAGACAGTGCCGTATCTTTTCATAAAATTTATGAAAGGTAAATCCACAGTCTGATTTCCAGGATAAAATGTCAGGCGTCCATCCTGCAATCAAACAAAGAAAAACAGCATATAAACAGCATTAAGTCAAACTAGTGGCTACATTAATTCATAGTTTTATTACCTTGAACTTGCATTACTCAAATGTTGCCAATTCTACTCAGGTACATTGAGAAGCTTTAATTAGACCAATTTAATTTAAAATGGATAAAGAAAAGTGTAATGTAAAGGAGAAGAGGGCTTTTTCATAGTAAAATTACTTCCTTTCTACTGCTATACACATTCTAAGCTCCAGTTCTTGTCAGAGTAGGGTCCCACCATGATGTATTCAACAGGGATAGCTGAGGCAAAAGGTGACAAGGAGCCAGTCTGAATCCTGGTGTAGATGTGCCCCTGGTACATATTTCTGTGAAAACAGAACTGTTCCTTCAACCTTTTCCTCCTTTTAAAGGTTTATCCACACCACATCTCTGTGAACTTATTTTACACTCTGGACTGGAAAAACAGCAAGAAAGCTGAGTTTGGTTTAGCTTACAAGAGTTACATACAGTCTCATTTACATGGGAGGCCTGTCTTCAGTTGTAAGGAAGGAAACATACCTGATATTTGTGAATTAAATATCTTTTCCACCTGTCTGAAGGTTAAAACAACTGTATCGATGAATCACTGTAATAAAGCCACTAGAAAACCATAAAAACATATCTACTAATTTCTTTATCCTTTAGCTGTAGATATACATCCAACAAGCTTATCGTAATTTGTTAAACCAAATGGTGTGAGCATGATGCCCAACAGCTTAACTCAGTCATTTGCTCTGTGATTACATACATTTTCATCCCACCCCTAAAGTTCTTAGGATTTACAATGGCAAAAATAAGAGGGCTTAGTGACCTTACTTTTCATTTTGCTTTCCAAGCCAAAAGAAAAGCATTCATTCATTTTACACACCAGGGCTGTCCCATTAGCTGCTGCCCTGCTCTACAGCCAGCTGACACGCCTCCCTTCACCTTGAGTTGAGGTGACAAGCTGGATGTACCACAGCTGACCGCCGGTACTAGCCATGCAGAAGTCTCTGACTATTGTAATGCGCCTGTTGAGTATGTGCAGCACACTCCCTTTAAGAAAGCCGAGTTAGGTTTACAATACAAGAGTTACTGACTGTCTGAGCAACACGGGAGGCCTGCTCTCATTATCCAAAGCAAGTCCTCCACCTCTTGGAGGTGGTGGAGAATAAAAACCAGCCCTGTGGCCTATGGTTGTAGGAGGAACAGCCCCGGAAAAGTCCTCCATGTTATAGATATCCTCGGAGGTCCCGCTCTCGCCGGGATCTACGAAACGACGCCGCTAAGG